TTATCATCAGGTGCGAACCCTTTTAATAACTCCCAGGTAGAACATTGATCATCAAGAACCGGAAGGGACATTGCTGGTGGAGGGGTAAGCAATGGGGGGCGATCACCTTTAATTCCTCCGCCTCCACCTCCAAAAACAGGTCTCACACTATTATCAGCCGGGTGTGGAAAAACAGCAGGCCCACATGGCCTAAACTCGTTGCCAATGCGATCATTCTGTATGATTTCATTCTTCTGAGCACTATTTCCAAATCTATGAGGCATACGATCACCAAACTTTTGAACCTCCTCTTGCTTAATTAGTACTTTAAGATCAACACTATCAAGTTGCTCCTTTTCAGTCCTCGGAGTAACATCAGAGGATGATCTATTCTTCATAGCCTGGTAAGCTGCTGGAGGAATTTGAAAGTCTTCAGGTCCAGAAAGCCCTATGCTCTGAAAAATTAAATCAATTTCACCATCTTTCCCTTCACACCGAAGGCTAGTCTTTTCAACAACAACGCCCAAGTCAAGTGACCGCGTTCTTGGCGCTGAAGAACCACTGGCCGATGGTGATGTCGAAGCTGAAGGAGTGAAATCAAAGTTCTTGGCAGCATTTTTTCGTACAAGCTTTGGTTTGGGAGATGATACTTGGTCCATTTTTTTGCTCAGCTTCTTATGAGAAAAAATCCCAGACAAATGATGCATTGAAAAACGAGCAACATTTACCAAAATTCACCAACTGATTGAATAATATCCCCAGCAACCCCCAACAAAACCCTAAAATCAATCACAAAACCCTAGAAACCCTAGATCAAGTGTTTAATTGCTTATTCCACACCCTCACTTCCAACTATCTCCTTCATTCAAAATTCACACAAAATTATTTCACAACCAAACATAAACCAAACACGATCTCTTCCTTAAATACACAACTCCCGAAGAATCAACAAATACAAAATCAACAAATTATTTGAATGAATTTTCAGCAGAAACAGTAAGTAATTCTTCAGCAATCTACTTCACCAGAAAAAAAAAAATTGAAATCCAACAAAATTATACCTTAAATTGAAACTTTTCTCTCTCCTCTTAGCTCAAACAGCTGCAAAATCAGTTCGATTTGAAGAAATGGTAGGAAAATTCGAGAGATTTCTGGAATATCAGTGAAGATCGGAGGATATAGATAGAAGGAAGAAGAAGAAGAAGAAGAGAGAGAAAATGGGAGTGACGGCGTGAAGAGGAGAGGAGAGAGAAAGATGACCGGGAAAGTTGAAGAGAGAAAAAACGCGGCGATGACGACTGAGAAGAGCGGAGATTTGGTTTATTCGTCAGCTGAAACTATGAAATTTAATTAAAATTATATAAAAATTGAAGGATTGTGATTGGCGGCGCTGGAAATTTGCTCTAATTGCTCGACTATGACGGTCAACGATTAATTTTCTTTTAAAAAAACAAAAAAAAAGTATTCTTACTTTAAGGAATATAAAGAATACTACACTTTTTAACCTAAACTAGTCTGCATCCGGAGCAATACTTTGAGCTAGATTGGTGAGTTCAATCAAAATAAATCTCATACCTTGTGATTTTCATTATAGGTTTTCATAAAATGCTTCCATCTATGCCTAACAGGAATTTCAAGGTACTGATTAACACTTTTTTTTCTCAAGACTAATAACATTGAGTTTTATGTCTAGTTATTTAGTCCACACACTACAAGATACTAATAGTAAGTGCTTTCAATTTCCACCCCCCTCCATAACTTTTTCTTTCATTATTTACATGTTTTTTCTTTACTTTTCCTTGTTTGCAAATCTAAAATTTTTTAAATACAAATTGTACCTTATGTTATAACTAAAGTTATTTATTTGCAAATATACTTATACCTCGTGAGGAAATAATAGACAAAATAAATGATTAGTTGAACAAAGAAAAATCTCGAGAAATTATTCATCTTATTCGTGTATTAACTATTAAAAAGTAGCAGCAATGAGAGTTTAGCAAATACTTCATTAAAAGTTATGCAATAATGATTGTGTATAAGAAATCTTACATGATTAACTGATTGAGTATAAATCGTTAGATTTTCTTGTAAAATAAAAAGCTATTGTATGTGTTAATGATATTTTAGTTTAAAATATATTAAATGATATTTTGTCATTAATTTACATATCTCAATTCTACTACTATTTTTTTTTCTTCCATGTGTAATCCATTTACGTACAGAAGTGTTTTTGCAAAAAAATAAAAAAAAAAAAAAAATAATAATAAGATTTTGGCAATTGACATTTTGCACGTCAGATACGATCGTATATTCCTTAACTTAGCTTGTCACATCATTATTTTTCATATACCATTTTCAGATAATTTATCGTGTTTGTTTAATTATTTTATCTTCTTAAACTAACATATCCAAGCAACTAGTCTTGGCTCTATAACTAAATAAAAAACATACTTCAATTGTTAAGCAAGTATTCATTATAACTAGAGAATTTTTAGTGAGAAAAAGAATGCACCATAAGAGCTACCCAAATAGAGTTAATAAGTAAGGACACACATTTTGGTAATTATATTTAAAAACAAGTTGATACAACTATCATTATTGACACCTTAAATCATGCTTACAAATAAATTTTCTAACAAATGCACACTTTTGAAATGTCTAGTTTTGGCTTAGCAAGAGAAAAACTTATTTAGTTGCACTAGCAATGATAATTAATAATTAAAGGCTACTTTGCGTTGTATAAATATATTTTATAAATCAATTCTTCAATTAGGATTATTCCTATTGGCAATAGATTGGTAACAAGATAGCAAATCTCTAATGTACATTACAAAATAATTAACAAAGAATGTAGTGAAATTTGATAGTACATGTTTTTAAGGCAGAAAACATTATGTCATGGGCTCTAATCGTGATATTATTTAATTTTTTTTTGAGTGAAGGGTAGGAGATATGTAGAAGTATATGAATCCACACAATAGTGGTGACATGTCGTATTAAGCAAGAATAATAAATAATAAAAGTGGTTCAAGGAGGCACACAAATTAAACTCACTAAACACAAGTGCATGATTATCATCAAATGAAGTGCACATGAACACCCCTTGAATTTTTATTTTTTTTTTTAAAAAATACTTGTGTTATGAGCATCACCCAAAGGGAAAAAAACACCAAAAAAAACAAAACGATATTTTTGTTTTCAAAAGTTTGTTTTATATACCCAATATATATGTATCTTTATTTTCATAATTTCATATTGTTTGGACACCATCCATAAATAATCAATTAGTGATAAATTTTACCTAGTGCATTTATCATTAAAAAGTTATTTTAGGTTTGTGTTGCAAGGAAGATACCATATATTCTTCAAATAATTCAATAAAAATAGTTTGCACCAAAAAAAGGTGCCCTTAAAAAACTTGATAGTTGGTTGGTACAAAATTATGTATACGATCAATTACATATGATACATGTAATAATAGGGCAAAAAAGACAAGAACATGTACTAACCATCATTTATGATGTGTTATATATTCACATGACTTTTACTTATCTTAATTTGGTTGAACTCATCAACTCATAGTCTTTCTTGCCAACATACAACTCATATCAAAACTTGGTAAAGGGACCTTGAGTAGACTTGAATCCCCACGATATTTTTGCCCAATATTTATAGATCAAACACTTGGGAATACAGGGGTGATGAAGGAATCCATACCTTCGAACTCATATCAAAACTTGGTAATAAGGGGATCTTGAGTAGGCTTGAATCCTCACGTTTTTTTTTTTTTTGTCCAATATTTACAGGTGAAACACTTGGGAATACGAGGTAATAAAGGAATCCATACCTTCGAGTTTTGAGTAAGCTAATACTTGACGGGCAAGTGTAGGCTATTATTACAATCATCCAAAAGACCAAAATTATACTTATGCACAACATACATAGTAATTAAATATTTATCATTAGTAATCCAGTTAGTGTTTTGATAAAGTGTAACAATTTACATATCTTTGATAGTAGGTGGATAAATTTCTTCACCCCCATGCCTAGTTAGGTAATAAGCATCGAGCGTTAGCTATGCATGATTATTTTAACAATCAACAAAAATCTTTCTCTATAGTTACTTTTAATGATATAATTTACAATAAAATTGAAAAAGTACAAGCTATTACTGTAATAACCCAAAGCTATAAAATGCTCAACTTACAAAGTAGCTATATGTGTATCATAGCAATCCAAGGAGTTGTCCCATGAGTTTCTAATAACATCAACCACTTGTCCTTTTTTCTCTGATAAGTTGATAACCTTCTTTACTAACATACATAATCAAGTAAAGTAACTCGATCATTATTTATCTATTATCTTAATTATCAATTTAAATCTTTTAGTGGTTCAATAAGTTTAGTGATTAGAGATCAGAGATGCTGCAGGTATGCTAAAGTATGCATACTCTCTTAATTTGGGGAATTGCTTTGCTTTCAAAGCTGAAGTGTTAGCAGTTGAGTATGGACTGGAATTGGCAAAAAAGATGGGAGTTACAAAGCTCCAAATCCAAATAGATAATCAAGATGTGGTACAAATTCTGACTGATTCAAGTGACTATAATGGATTAATGGTGAATGTATACATGATGTGATTCACTGCAAGAAGCTAATTGCGAGGCAAGAGTGGAATGTAGAGGTGAAGCATGTGTATCGAGAAGCCAACCAAGCTGCCAATTGGCTTGCCAATCAAGGAGTCCAGCAGAATAACAAATTTCAGTTGATTCAAGTCTCACCCCTAGCTTTAGGGCGTATTTTACATAATGATGTAGTAGGTGTGGCTTTGCCACGGTTTGTTCCCCCCTAGTTTAGTTTATTGGTCTTCTTTTTCGGGCTCCGGCCCTCGTGTGCACCAAAAAATAAAAAAAAGTTTAGTGATAAATCATAATTATTTATCATTTCTAAGGTAATTAAGCAACTAAAAATCATCACCCCTATTTCTACATAAATAAGATGAATAGAGCGTTAGTGAAAATCTCCATCTAAATTGATGTGTTATTAGGGAAATGAGAGCAAAGTTGATGGAAATGAAGTAGGGGATTGTGAAGAGACAAGTGGTAAGCAAACATTGTACATACATACATACATACATAACCTAAAACAAATAAAACGCCCTAATGACCCAAAATAAAAAAAAAAGAAAAGAAAAGAAAAAAAGAAGCAAGTCCTATAACCTTCACAAATTCTCTCTCTCTCTCTCGGCAAAGAAGGTGGTTCTTCATACGCTTTGTATCCGTTTTTCGTTTCTCTGAGAACTGCAATCTCTCTCTCTCTCTCTCTCTCTCTCTCTCCTGCCTTCCCCTCTTTTATTTTCCCTCAACCTCTTTCTCTCTCCTCTTTCGTTTGCGATTCCAAATTCATAAACTAAAAAACCAAAAAAAACCCTAATTTCATCGTCTTCCACAAACTTCTGGGTTCTTCGTTCAACTTCTCTGCACTTTTACTTTCGCATTTACAGAGATAATTTCAATCAACTGTTTACTTTCGGCTTTTCGTTTCCATTTTCTGCTGCAATTATTCGCCGTTTTTGAGGTTGGGATTTCGGGATTTTCTCTCTCTCCTGCGTTTAATTTTTTCAATTATTAATCATTTCTGGTAATATCGGATTAATTTGTTAGGGTTTCTGTATTTCGTATGCGTTATTCTTGATTAATTCGGGTTTTGTTATTGGGGCAGTGGTGAAATTCAATAATCTGAGTATTTTGTGGTTTGAGGGTTTTTAAAGTGTGGTATTGACGATAAAATTTGTGGCGGATTGAAATTTGTTTATTGGGGAAAGTGATGAGGGTCTCATAAGTGTGCTTCTTTTGTTCTGCAAATCCATCTTCTTGTTCTTCAAAGATGGAGGAGTAGAAATGCGTATTGCACCAATTCTCTTATGCCCCATTGTTTCTCTTTCGCCGAATGGCATTTTTGTTTGCGCCTCCATTGATACTCTTGGTGTGGGTCGGTACTTGTCTTCGCCTTTGGTTTCTTTATTGACCGTAGGATCGCCACAATTAGTTTTCAAAACCCTAGTTTTAGCTGTACAGGAGGGTGGGTAGCTGTTCCAATTCATTTTTGATTTAGTATTGCTCTGGACAATAAACCCAGCATCGCATTCGAGTATCAAACCTTAGCTCTGAAGATTGTGATACAAGAGTTGTTTTGTGGAAATTCATAACTTAGAGTTGTTGACTCTAATTGTAGTTTTGAAACTGGGAATAGCAAATTGAAGTCTAGTAGGATATTTGGTTGGAGATTGTTGTTTTAGCCGGTTGAGAAGGGTTGATGGTCCCAGCTTCATATAGGTTAGTATCTAGAAAAAGAGATTGACAGAAGAAGAAGAATAAGAAGAAGAAGAGAAGGGAAGTTCATCAGAGATTTCATTGGTACGTATATTAACATGTTCAGCTCCTGTTATGGAAAAAAGTGAACCCAGTTTAGTTCCGGAATGGTTGAGAAGCACTGGAGGTGGGAATTTGAACCACCATGTTTCATCTTCAAAATCAGGTACTAACACTTGTTAGGAAGCTTGTTTATATATATATGTGTGTTGGTTTTATTTATACGCTTGATTGCTAATAACTGATATTCCTTCTATATGTCATGTTTTTCTGCTAGATGGTCCATTGTTAGCACTTCCGAAAAGAAATAGGAATTTGAATAGCAGCGGTTACTTAGATGCACCCCACTCCTCTGTTTTAGAGCGGAGCTCATCAACTAATTCTCGAAGAATTTCAAGCAGCAATGGCTCTATTAAGCAAGATAAGAACCCTTACTCGCCCTCCTTCAGAAATTCTGCCAGAAATCAACGTGCCAAAGATAGAGAAAAGTTAGGCAATCCTGATAATTGGGATTCCGAATATTCTGATCCTTTGGCAAGCATTATTGGTGGAAGGTTTGAGAAGGACACTCTTAGACGTTCTCAGTCCATGATCTCTAGAAGGCCAGATGAGCTCATGCAACGCAGATCCGTCCCGGATTTGAGAAGTAGAGGTCATAACATGAACGGCAGTGGAAATGGAACCATTGGTAGTCCTTCAGCTGGCACCCAGAAGGTGTCATTTGATAAAGATTTCCCGTTGCTAGGAACTGATGAGAGGCCTTCAACGCCTGATATAGCCAGAGTACCATCACCTGGGATGACTAGGGCTGTTCAGAGCTTGTCCATTGGCACCTCTCCATTGATTGGCTGTGAAGGTTGGACATCAGCTCTTGCTGAGGTTCCTGTGGCTGCCAGCAATAGCATTGTCTCTTCCCCTAGCTTGCAGCCAACTCCTTGTGCTGTTGGTGGTCCACCTTCTTCTGCTTCAACCTCAAGCGATGCAGGTACTCCTAATGGTCTGAATATGGCTGAAGCATTGGTACAGGGTCCTGTGCGGCCTCAAAATGTACAGCAGGTATTTATTTTGTTCATTTCTTGACGGTACTGGTTTCATATTCCATATTGCACTGCTGAATAGTGCTACTATTTATTTGTTTTGCAGCAAGTTGTTCCGACTCAGAGGTTTGAGGAATTGCCTTCAGTGGGATCTAAGAAGCTGATACCTATGACCTCCTCGATGCCTAAAAGCTCGGTAATACTTTTTTTCTAGTTCCATACTTTTTATTTTATTTGGAACCAGGGGCTCTGCAATAAAGATCTGCTCGGCATGCAGCAAATTTATCTTATTTAGTTTAATATGTGCCTATTTTCATTGCGTAATAAATTCAAGAATGAATGCCTGTTAAGTTTGCTGCTAAACAAAGATTGAATGGCTGAGAAGGGGCAATAGGCTACCATGTATGCAAACATTTAAGCTTAATATAGGCATTTTAGGATGAACATAAGGAATTATTCTCTAAACACTAAAAGTTTATTTTGATTGATATTTCACCTATTGCAAAGTTCATTTAAAACACTAATGAAGAAATCCATCAAAAATACTAATGTTGTGCTGTAGGACAAAGGTTATCTGTAGTTTTCCTTAAGTGGGAAACCTGATTGTTAAGAGGTGTGGTATTTACTGACTTACTGCTTCATTTACTCTGTTTTACAATGAAACTGTTGTGTACTTTATTAGAATATTATTACTGTGTTTATGTTAATGGATTCTTCAAAGTATGCTGCGGTAGATATTGATTTTTATTGTCTGTTGCCATTCAGTCATATTTGTTAAATAGAATTCAGATGCACATGCTTGTTTGTTTAGAGAAAACTGATGCGTGAGGTATTCTATTACGACCTGTTTAGTAGTTGGCCATAAATGATGGTAATGGGAATGAATATGCATGTAAAGTTGTAATGAAAATCAAAGTTCATTTTCATTTTAATGCTATTTCACCCTAAACTGACATGAAGAAAACACATGCTTGAGAATGGAATTACCAATTACTTTACCATATGGGGGTTAGTGGGTTACAATGTTATTTCCCTCCTAATTTTTATTGAAAATTCATTCCCATTCACCATTTATTTCCAGCTACCAAATGACCTGATAGGGTTTATACGGTCAATTGTTCTGGGAAGCTAAGTTCCAAGTTTTTACTCCCCCTCCCCCCCCCCCTTTCCCGATTTTTGTAGTGGATCACTTTATGTATTATAAGTACACAGTGTATGGGATTTGAGGTTTCTTTCTTCCCATCTTGTTTGATGCATATCACACCTTTTTTGCTTAATTTTCCAAGGCATGTAAGATTGTTTTGAACTTTTGATGTGTTGTCACCACGATTCTTTTTTCATTTTGTTGTTTAGTTCTTCTAGGAGTTGGCTTTTAAGCTCAGTTATTTTTCTTTTTTAGCTGTTGTAATGCAATGTCAGACTCGTGCCCTAAAATATTTACATTCGTTATATAATTTCTTTAATTATACATAGGGTCACACAGGATCGAGCTTCAAAGATTTGCATGATTAGTTATGACTTTTATGAGTTTGAAGCAACCTGTCTTAGATAGTACATTAGGCTCTTGTGGTACATTTGGTAGTCATTAAGCATTTGAGAGTTTGAAGTGTCCACCTGTCCAGGCTAGAGTCATTCTTTCATTAACATTTCTTTTTCCTTTTTTTTCCTTCCCCCCCCCCTTTTTTTTGTTGTTGTTTTTTTTTTTTTTTTTTGTGTGTGTGTGAATGTGATTGGGGGTGGGGGAGCTTAATGAGTTTTGTTTCACCCTTATCGTTACCAATTTAATGCTAGAAGAGTTATGATGTGCCTTAGATTATGGCTCAATGGATTTACAATTTGAATTAGTCTCTTGTGGTCAATCTGTCAACATTGGAACTGGTGGAGTGGAACTTAATTAAGGTAAAATAGAGTACTAAAATCTCCGCCCTTTGGATTTGGAAGAGGAGAAAGTCGTAGTCTATTTATTCGACTTAAATGAAGGATGAAGGTTGTTGTAGGAAACAATTCATGCTATCATAGGTCTAAGTTTAAAAGTTTTTCATTCTAATCTTGTGGTTTACCCTGCATATGCATCCGTGTAATTGAATGGTCTTGCATAGAATTAGATTAATTTGATATTGAATAATATGGTTTAGTAGAATTTTGATTTAAGAGTTAATCATATGATTAGATAAAAATATATATGCAATTCTACCCTTGAATAGTCATAATTAGCCGAGATTGTTGTGTGCCAAAAATGCTTTTTCAAGGTAATCCTGCCTCTCCTAATAATACTATAGTGTTTATACTCCGTAGGTTTAAATTAGCTATGACAATCTTTCTTCAAGTTTAGAGATTAATTAAGGCTTTAATTTTTGTTTTGGAATATCATTTGTCTCAATCTTACTGAAAGTCTTAACAAGCTGTATCCAATACTTAACAGTAATTTTTGAATCGAGTTACGAATATTCCTATCTGGCTATTGTTTACTTCTTAGCATTGCATTTGGTGTTGGCATTGCATGACCTAACTATAATAGATTTGGTGAGTGTAGAAACTGTTTGATGTTGCCTTGTTTTGCGTGGGCCCCACAAGTCCGGAAGGATAAGGAATTTCATCTATGTTACTTGGACTCGGATGAAGTGTCAAATTAGACACGGGTATCCAAGCATCGGACTTGCCCATTTTCTTGAAAAAAGCTGTGTTTTTAGTTAAAAATGAAGTGTCCAAGTGTCGGTGTTGGTGTCCGACACATGTCGTGTTGACACGGACACGTGAGGTAAATGAAAGAGTCCGAGTAACATAGAATTTCATGTTTGAAGGCAAGAGCCTTTATGTTTGCTTGTGTGGTGCCTCATATTTCTTGTATCTGCTCTTGCTTCATATACGATGGTGTAGTTTGGACTAACAATACAAATAAGTTTGGGTGTTGAGTTTTCTGTTTAGGGAATTGTTGTCTACCTGTCTGTTTTATAGCGCCTGTTTCAATACGGTGCTTGCTCATGTGATCATGTGTCATAGAGTTATCTGATTCAATTTGATATCTCCTTTCCCTGCAGGTTCTTAACCCATCTGATAAGCTGAAACCTAAGACAGCTGCTAGACAAAATGATGGTGTGGCTGGTCCTAAGAATGGGCAGCAGCAAATGCCATCTTTGCAATCTGGGAGTCAAGTTGTCCGTGGTGGGAGTGGCCGAGCAGATGGTTTAAATCCATCTTCTTCAAAACTTCTTTTGCTTAAACCTGGGCGAGAAAAGGTAGTTTCTCCTGCTATGAAGGATGTTCCTGCTCAAACAATGAAGGCGGCAACTGCTGTTAATGGTCCATCTGCTGGCTCTAATCCAGTTTCTCTTCCTTCTAAGAATTCTACTCTCCTGAAACATTCTAACAATGACCGCAAGACACCTGCTTATAATATGAATGGTGCACAAGTTGTGGATAAGCGGCTGTCCCATGCTCAACTTCAGAGCCGAAATGATTTCTTTAACTTGGTGAGGAAGAAATCTAAGGGTGGTGCTTCTGCTGCTGTGGATTCTGGTTCAGTTGTCTCATCTATTGTGCAGAATTCTGGTGAAGAGAAGGAAATGGCCTCTGGTCCAGCCAGTCCCACTGATAACAGTGAGGTGAATTGTAATGGTGATACTTGTAACTTGGCTGAGAGCTTTTCAGACCAAAGAGGGAGTGACTTGAGTCATCATGAACTCATCCATCCGGAGGAAGAGTTAGATTTTTTACGTGCTCTTGGTTGGGAGGATGATGGTGGAGATGATGAAGGCCTTACAGAGGAAGAGATAAATGCTTTTGTTGAAAAGGTATTTATTTCTGCCTTTTATAAACGTGTCACAGATATGGCATTATCCTTTTAACAAAGTGCCCCCCCCCTTATCCTTTTAACAAAGTGCCCCCCCCCCCCCCCCCCCCGGTTTATTGTCTGCTTAAATTGTATGTCAACTGTTGTTAACCTGAGTATAGTTTAGCAATTGTATGTCAAACACTTCAAACCATTCCGTCCCATATTCTGTATATTCTTCTGTGAGCAGGCTGATTGTAGAGAATTGCTTATAGTTCCTTAAATTGATTTCTCAATGAGCTGACAAAAATTTTAATGTGTTTTTGGACAGTACATGAAGTGGAGACCGGAATCGAAGCTGCTTCAAGGCTTGCAGTCAAAGTTTGTGGAATCAAATGCTCCAGCTTCATGCCCTACTGGTGCTTCCTCTGATTCTTCGCTGTGAAGACTCAATTTTTGATTACTATACTGCTTCAGAAAAATAGTGAAAGGTAGATTTTTTTGGGTTTCTGCTTTGCTTTGTTTTTGAATGGGAAAGCTGATCAGGTGAGAAGGATATGATAGAAAGAAATTGGGTGTCTGTAGAACTGAACTGAGCGAACTTGGTTTTGCCATGCAATAATTTCTGGCGCCTCATTCTGCCATTCTGGAGTTGCTATCTTTTCTTGGCCATGATGACGGAGGGTGGATGATAGGATTTAATTTGTTTTGTGACGGGAGTTCTTAGAAAATGTTCGGAATGTGAAAAGCTTATGGTTTTTGATCAGTTTATGACAAAAAGTACGATACTAAGAGCTTTTGGTTTTTAAATTCTGTACATGCTCATATTCCCATTCTTAGGATGATTTCTAATGCCTTCCAGTTGCAATGATCTAATTGCTTGCACGTGAAAATGAGATGAAGTTTAATTGCTTTCTTGTGCTTTTACCATGATAATGCAGAATAAGCTACAGGAAAGTTTGATTTCAGTCCGAGAATTGGAATCTGGAATTGAGTTACAAATTCCAAATATTGGATTATCGAAAAATTTTCAGTTAATTTCAAAAGTTACAAGCAATTTATAAATCTCAAAAAAATCAAAATGTATTATTCTTAAAGCTTTACTTTAAAACCTAATTGGATTGTTAATATTACAGAATCAAGTAGAAAATACTAGCAAATTGTGAATATGGTACTTTTTTGCATGAGATTCGAATCAACAGTTGGATGGTGAGCAAGTTTAGTTAAGTAGAGTTTGAATAAGTATAGATGTGGAAACGATAGAGTAGTTTGTAGATTGCCCATGGCTGACTGCAGGGAAGTGACAGTTCGTTTGAGAGAGGTAGAGAGAAGCTCCCATGGCAGTGTTGGTGGCGGACTGGTGGTTATGGTGGAACTTACATGTATAAAGAGGGGGAGATTTCTGGAGAAATGAAATGACCATTAGGAATTCTGTGTATTTGTGTCCCATTCAATTTATTCCTCTCCGGGCCTTTACAAATCAATCTTGTATTTGTGTCAAATTCTCTGAATTATTATTATCCTAATATTTGATGTGAGTTATTAGTATCCAAATTGACCCATAAGAGTGGGGATTTCCAAATTGGGAGTAGTAGATAAGTTGTTAAGAATAATCTCAAGCCATATTCACCAATCAACAAGTTTGATTCGTCATTTGTTTTGAAATTACTGGTAGTGTCTCATAATTTGTCACTACTCACTAGATCATACTACCCTCTGTTGTTTATGTTGGTACTCGTCTTTCATATTTGTTTACATTCAAAGTGTCTTTGATTCCTTAGGAGGAGCCTGGAATGTTGAATAGTTAGTCATTGTGGTCAAAGTTGCCCTATATCTGGGTGAAATGTGTGCCATATTTGTGAACTGTGTACTTGCATATTTTCATTTGTTGAATATGGTTTTGTTTGACAATTGTTTTTATTTGTTGAATCTTCAATGCCAATGCCAACATTTTAGATCAAGTCTTGAATATTGGAAGTTCCTCAATGTTTACAGTCTGTCTGACATAATACCATATCCTTTTGCTGTCTGGTTGTAAACATTAAACAAAACACAAGTATTTCAAAAGACGAACATATTCAGCAGAAAAAAGAATCAGAGCAATAAAAAATATTATTGAAGCCTGGCAAGCTTATAAGCATCATCAAAATTAAAATGTCAAATGTCAAGGGATACACAGGTTCCTTGTTTGCATAATGCAATCCCCAATTTTGTTCAACTCCAACGGCCTTCAAATTCTCATTGAACATAGATGATATGAAGAAATCTAAAACAGTTGATGGCTTTCTTGGTGTCCCAGTTATCTTCAGTTTATTAATGAGTTTCCGATTAAAAACATGAGCATTTTGCTTATTTGTATAAGGCTCATTCCCAGCAGTAGGCCACCCAGTCTCAGACACTACTACTGGTCTACTGCCACATTACTCCCACCAACTCTACTCGAGGCCGCGTAAACTGCATCCACCATAGCCTCAAATAGACTGTAGTACCGAGTGACTCCATCAACTATAGGTTGCTTTGCACTGAAAAGTGCATAATCTAAAGTTATTTTGTAAGGATTTGAAGCAAAGACGTAACAAGGGTGCACATTGATTAGCAGCGGGTTATTTGTACCTGCTAACCATGTGATAATCCCCTGCATATCTGCACCAGCATCGTTGCTGAAGCTCGCAGCAGGAGGAGGGGAAGCGACTCCTAAGACTTTGGCAGCATTTACTGCTGTTAAAGATTTTGATATTAGTTAGATTTGCCGAGTTAAGGCCACTCAGTATATTGTTCATTGCTTGAGGGATGTATTTAGCCTCAGGACTTGACACCATCTCATTGCCTAAAACGATCCAGTCAATATCCACAACTTTGATGTAAGGGACAACATTGTCATAAACCCACCGCGTATGTAGCAGTGTTTAGGTTCATTGCAATGTTCAATACATCATCATTTTTCACTCCTAGGGAAATTTTAATCTTAGACCCTCTTAGAGCATTGAGTACATCTGCATTTGGCTCTAGCATTCTCAAGAGAGGAATGTTTTTTCATGTAGAGTTCTATCACACCATATGCTGATGGAATATTGTCTCCTTCGAATCCATAGTTGACTCCAATAGCAGCACCTATTTGCATAAACAAGTTCGATACCAAACAATATACATTAGTGATGACAATTGACAAGATACATGTGACGTCGAGCCAATACTTTGGGCCTGAATATATTTTCCTATTGGGCCTATAGGTATACACATGCAAATGACCAAGATGCAATTATGTAAATGAGATTTGATTGTAACATATAAAACTCTGGTTATGGTATTTATGTTATCTCCTAAATTCGAAACTGTTTTACGAATAGTTTTGGACTTTTGGTAACTTACTTGTCATATGCAGTTGTAGATTGATGTCACAGTAAGTGGCATCACTATGAAAAGGATCAAATGAATCCTGAAAAAGAGCTCCATTCCTATAATATAGTTTGACGAATAGCTTCACCAAACTTATGGATTATAATTTATTTAAAGGAGGAAAGGTTCGCAATTGCTAATAGTCTCCTTACTAATCTACTTTGGCTTATATAATAGAGATATCCGGAGTATACTGGATATACAAAGCCACACAGCACCAACAACCACACACAATCACATAATTGCTGGAGTAATTATGATCATTTACACCCAGCATCTTCTTGGATGGTTTACTTCATAAAGTTGCGATTTATTTCCTTATTAGCGGAGCATACAGACAATAAAGTAATACTTCTAATTAGTTTTTGAGATATATATCTTTGATTTCTTACTTGTTTTATGTCGATCATAAAGTACGGAATAATATTTAATTTTTTCGGAGTAGTTATCTGTTTTTAAAAATACTTGTAATTGTTTGAATTTTACACTATTTGTATAACTTTGACTATAATTCTTAGTACACCATGTGTCTCAAAATTTTTAAAACTTTTTATTTCGTAATAAGATAATCACATCAAGTTGGAAGAGTTTGTTTAGAGAAGAAGGAATTAATAAATCAAAATCAAATGCTAGATATTTAATTCGTTCTTTCTTTGTACTTTTTTTTAAATGCTATACTTTTAATTACACGCTTATCATTGCGTTATTTCAATCATTAATATGAATACGAGTACAATTTATTATTATTAAAAAATTAATCCCACCTGACTTTCATTAACCATATGATCTAAGCCAAAGTGATGAGGTATATAGAATTATAAATAATGTAAAAGTCAAAGTATTAACTTTAAAAGAAAATGGATCCTACGTGAACATGCATGCATTTACATGATAGAGTATTTATATCAAAGTCAACTTTCATGACCTATACAATTCCATGTTATAAGAAAATCATATCATTGTTACATTTAAAATTTGATATAAATCTCATATGAAAGGTTCTATATCTTATATTAGGCCTTTATTTTTCCTTCCCCTTTTAGCTTAATTGTAACGTCCTTGTGAATCTCTCACCTTGATAATGAGGTTGCTTATTGTTCTTGATCATTTGCTTGATTTTCAGCTGTTTTATAAATTAAACAAGAATCAAACCAATCAACGAAGTACAAAAGAAATGGAAAGAAACTAACAGTGTTATTTCTTATTTGAACACAATAAGAAAAAACACAACTAAGAATTATTGAAGCCATATCAGCTTATATTACATGAATTTTCGACGACTTGCATAAACTAAACTAGTTCTCATCACAAGAAGTAGAAATTGTTCATGTAACTCAGAATGTCAATGGATAAACAGGGCTCGCGTTTGGATAATGAAGTCCCCAATTCTGTTCAACCCCTTCCCCCTTTTGATCCTCGTTAAACATAGCAAATATAAAGCAATCTAACAACGCCGAAGGCCTTCTTGGTGTTCCGGTTGCTTTCACTTTATCAATCAGTTTTTGATTATAAGTTTGTGCATTTTGTATACTTGTATAAGGCTCAAATCCTGCAGTAGGCCACCCAGTCTCAGACACGACGACTGCCAAATTTTCTCCTCCATTTTTATCTAAGGCGGCGTAGAATGAATCAACCATAGCATCGAATAAGCTAGTGTAAGTGTACGGCCCATCGATAACAGGGTTTGTTGCATTGAAAAGAGCATAATTTAATGGTATATCCGTAGGGCTAGAAGCGAAGGCAAAATAAGGGTACACATTGATGAAAAGAGGGCTATTAATAGTTTGAAGCCATTTAATTATCGCGATCATAATTTCCTTGGATTCATTGTTGAAGTCCCCTGCAGAGGGCGGGTAAGTAACCCCGAGTACCCTGCCACTAATAGCTGTCGATACATGAATGCCAGTAAGTTGCGCCGCGTTAAGGGCATTTAGTATGTTGCCCATGGCTTGGGTGATGAGCGCAGCAGCGGGGTCTGCTGACACCAACTCGTTGCCTACCGCGATCCATCCAATATTAACATCTTTCGCGTAAGGGACAACGTTGGTGTTCACCCATTCCACGGCAGCATTCCCATTCATAGCAATGTTGGTTACATCTACATTTTTCACTCCTAAGGAAACTTTTAATCCTGACCCTCTTAGAGCATTGAGCACGTCCGGGTTCGGTTCAAATAATCTTAAGAGAGGGATGTTTTCTTTCCTATAGAGGTCCACCACATTGCTTGGTGGTGGAAGATTATCTCCTAGCAGTCCATAGTTAACTCCTACAGCAGCATCTATTTACAAAAAATCGAAAAAATCAAGGCTTTTTTTTTTTTTTCACAGCCTTCAACATGAAAATACTCTAGTAAAGCTTGTAAAGTTATAGTAAGATAACCAATTCATTTTACAGCTATATACGCAGAATAAAAATAGGTCCAATAAATTCAGACAAAAGGAAATTCAGACTGAAAAATAAAGTTAGTAACAAATCTCAAGACAAAACATACTAGTTTGAGAAACTTACTTGTGAAATGTGAATGCAGATTGATGATGATTACAAAAATCGTACATGTAAAATGAAACGAATTCCGCCAGAAGATTTCCATATCACCTTAAAGAGCTAGATTATAATTTTTGTTACACTAAACTCGAAAATTTAACTGCGTGTTGATATCGTTACAACAACTCAATGACATTCATTCATTTAAATATATATATTTATACAATACACATCATGCAGCAGGAATAGCTGGAGTTTGTTACTGAAATTTTTGTAATTTGAATACGTTGAATTATTTGATTCTGTTGATATATTTCCAAATAATGACATTTAATTCCTTGTAAAAGATAGAATTTCTAGTGTATAAAATAAAGACATATAAATGCAAAGAGTAGGCCAAGTATTATCTATTTGGTGAAACGCTAAACATCGCCCGCAATTTACCATATAAAGCCCACAAATATGATATGATTTGACCATTATGCCCTTTTTCTAAAATTGAAATAATCTCGGTGTAAAAAATGTGGAGCCGTACTGGCTCGCCGGGGGAGACCGGATGGCAGGCCGGAGATGCGGGGGACGCCGGAGGTACGTCGTCGTCGACTGAAAACGAGGTAAGTCACCGTTAAAATTCACGGTTTATCGTCGGAGTGGCTCCGACGCCTAGGGTGGACGCCCAAACCGTAGCCTGGACGTCCAAGCCGGACGCCAGAACCACCAGAGTGGCGTCCAACCCAGACGCCCAGACCACCAGACTGGCGTCCTGGGCAGACGCCACTCCACTGGGTGAGGCGGCCCTGCCAGGCGCCAGTCCAGTGGCTGTGGCAGCCCTGGCAGACGCCACCTTTAATAATTAATTTTTTTTTTCTTTTTTGATTTTGTTGTTGTTTTTTATTTAATTTTTTTGTAAAAAAAAAAATCGAAAATGATTTTTTAAAAAAATTCGAAATGGGTTTTTTGTAAATTAAATTTGAAAATTTGAAATAGGTTTTTTTAAAATTAAATTTGAAAATTCGAAATGGTATATTTTGAAATTTAGTTTGAAAATTCGAATTGGGTTTTTATAAAAATTAAGTTTGATTATATATAATTATGTTTTTTTTTGTGTTAATTCTGTGGAAATATAGAAATTAAATGTATTATCCGTTAAATGTATTTATTGTAATATATAATTGATGCAGGAATATGGTGGAGACGGAAATGATTACAGTGGGATATTTGGACATGATGGTCCATTCGAAGAAGCTCAACAGGCGATTGATTGGGCAAAACAGGTTGCAATTGCAGCTGGATTTTGCTTGGTAGTAGCAACTCATAAATCTCAACGGGATGGTAGAATGGATCGCATTTTGAGATGTGACCGTTATCGCAGAAGAGAAGAAAGAGATTTTCGTACAGCCACTCGGTTTGACACAAAGCGGAAAGGTTGTGGGTGTGAGTTCAAAGTAAAGGTTCGACAACTACGGAGTCATGACGGTTGGGAAGTGATAGGTTACTCTAAATGGGGGTATCACAACCATGAGATGATAGTATATGAAGAGGGTCATCGACAACTGAGCGGCTTAAGTCCTGCTGCGAAACTAGTTGTGAAAGAAATGAGTGATGCTCAAGTGAAGCCTGCTAAAATATTAGCATCTGTGTTAGAGAAATTTCCAGAAGACCATCCAAACCGAAGACACATCTACAACGTCAGACAGCAACTCAGGTTTGAACGGTCAGAGGGAAGGAACCCTATACAGCAGCTGCTACACCAGGCACAATCACGTGGTTACCTGTTCTGGTTTGATTCTGATGAAGATACAGCGGAGGTGACTCATCTTTTCCTTGTGCATCCTGATTGTGCTGATATGATCAAGTCTTGGCCATTTTTGATTTTGATCGACTCAACGTACAAGACAAACAAGTACAAGTTCCCTCTGGTTGAGATGGTTGGGATGGCTCCAACGAACCAGAACTTTCTGATTGGTCATGCAATCATCAGGGATGAGACGGCTCCAAGTTATTATTGGGTGTTGGAGAAGCTGAGAAACTACATCGGGCCTAATGTTCATCCAGCAGCCATCGTCAGCGACTGTGAGGGAGGTCTCTTTGCCCCCATAGCAGAGCTGTTTCCCGAATCGAACCACTTATTGTGCACATGGCACATCAACAACTGCGTGAAAGTGAAAGCCTACAACCTTTTCAAGAAGAATTTGGAAATGGCAGAGAGATTGGTGAATGGTAAGTGGCGGAAGATCCTACAGGCTACCACAGAGGAAGCGTATGAGCGAGCATTGGCTAACTTCAGGGATTCGTACCAGTGGTGTCCGGCACTGGTGGACTATGTGATGCATCAATGGGTCCCTCACAGGGAAAAGTTTGTCAAATATTGGACAAACCAGGTACTTCATTTTGGGAACACTACAACATGTAGAGTTGAGAGCGCTCATAGAGCTACCAAGGACTGGATTGATTCATCGACCGCTGCTTTGGTAGTAATGGTCACACATGGGAGTAACCCCAGAGGGCGGCCGCTGCAACTCCGCAGTCCATAAGCGGGCCACCATCGGAAACTGGTCCCACGTCCCGGTCATGATATCCGGCCATTCCACGACGTACTCCCTCGACGATGCAGGTCGGACCGCCTTCATCGGGCACGCCGGGGGAGGAGGGACAACTTGGACAAATCCAAGCTGGCGAAGACAACGCCGGGGCATGTACGCCTCGACGATGTCACGATACTGAATGAGTCCCGTGTACAGGGTCCTGGGTACCCTAACACTAGGGTTCGGGCCGAAAGGCATCCAGTTCACCTGTACAATAACAACATATAAAATTTAATAACATGAATATAATATGTGCAAATAATAAAATGTAGACTCTATAAATAAACGTTACCTCTAAGGGGGACAGCCTGTCCAGCAATAACCGTATCGATCGCAGGCGGTCAACGGACTTCTTCTCCGAGCGCGGACTCCACGCACAAGCACGCGGCATCCCCTCATCAATAGGAACTGGGTCACGATGTGGTCGCAATGCAGGAAAGTACTCGTATATCCAGGTCTGCAATAGAGTCAGACACCCAGTGATACCTGCCGCGTCAGCCCGACTCGCAAATCCTAGTTGGCGATACAAATACGCCAACGTAGCCGATCCCCAGGAAAACTGGCCTACACTGTCGGGGTCACACGCCTCTACGATGTCGCGTGGCCTGAGCTTGTTTCCGCCGCTCTTATCCGGAAACAAGGTACATCCGAGGAGTAGAAAAACATAAGCACTCAGCTGTGCGTCGGGCGTCCTACGTGCACTCGGGTACAAACACCGCTGCAACACGGATGCGATCTTCACACCTCCGTGTTCCCAAACACCTAGCGCCTCGGTGTACAGTGCAGCCCTGTCCACCGCCAACAACTCCGCCAGCGAATCTGCCTGATCCGCATCAGCCACAGCACAAAGTCGTTTACCCTCAACACGAATCCCCAGAATGGCCTCGACGTCATGTAACATGATCGTCATCTCACCGAACGGAAGGTGGAAAGAGTTTGTATTCGGCTGCCATCGCTCAATGAAAGCCGTGATCAGCGTACTGTCAATCTTATCGTGCATGGTGGCAGGAACGTGCTTCACCCCAGTGCCCTCCAGTTGCTCGAACATCTCGCTCTCCGCCGGCCAGGCCTTAGCCCATGTACGCAAAAAGCTACAAGTCTTTTCCCGGGTATGACATTTCAACAACCCCGTAACTGAAGGCCTCTCCTGGTCCTCCCAAATACGGGCAGCTATGTGTCCTAGAAAGCTAGGAATCACACTCCCGTCAACAGGCCCACCGGGCACCTCACTCCTAACAACCCAAGAATCATTACCGGCCCTCGACCGTTTCCTGCTTGCCCCAGATACAGTGGACGCAGATGATGTGCCAGATCTACTAACAAACCTACCACCCCTACCCTTACGCACCTCCACCATATGCGTCTCGTACATGTCATCAACCCTCTGACTGAATGGACCGTAATCATCATACGGTCCACTGCCATCGTCCACATCCTCATCCTCATCTGCGCCCTCCTCCTGCTCCTCCTCCTGGTCACCCTCCTCAGCATCATCATCGTCATCGTCATCCTCATCCCGACGGTGGATCCGTTCTCTACGAACTGAGGCCGAAATACCACGGGATCTGACATGTCTATGCCCCGACCTCTCCACTGAATAACTTCTACTAAGAAGCTCTATATTCTTCCCCGCACCATGACGACCCTACACAAAATTTTAAAATATATAAACATACAAAAATTTATACGATAAATAATCATCATCGCAAATCAAATAAACTAAAAACATACAAATAATTGTAAACAAAATATAAACGAAGAAAAAATACAACGAAATTGAAAAAATTTATAAAAATAAACAACAAAATATAAAAACAATTCAAAATTATATTACAAAAAAAAAAAAAAAAAAATTAAAAACAATTTTTTAAAAAAATTAAAAAAAAAAAAAAAAAATTGGGGGGGGGGGCGCCCTGGCTGGACGCCCAGCCGGCGGTGGTGGCGCCAGATGCAGACGCCGGCACCAGTTGGCTGGCGCCTGGGCTGGACGCCACAGCCACGGCTGCGGCGCC